GCCGCAGGAACGGTGGCCTCACCTGGCGTCTTTTTTGCAGGAAGAGAGTTGCAGTCACTGCGGCCAAGGACAGCGCGCCTTTGACGGTGGAACAGAAAAAGCATGAAGCGTTGAGGGCCGTATCCCAATGTGTTTGTTTTTAATTTGGGGGTTCTCTTTTTCAAGTGTCAGCGGCTGCTTCCTAGGTGGCCCTCTCTTAAACGTAAAGCCCTTTGGTAACTTAGGTGGGAAATTTCAAAACCTCTGCCTGGGGTCAGTTTCTATTTTCGAAACCAGCCTAACACTTGAATACAGCTTAAATTAGTTCCATAAATATATGAGATATATTTTCATAAATACATAAAATGTATGAGAGGGCGACTACAGGATACTGTGCCAGGCTGGTGCAGAAAAGGCAACGCACAAGGACAGCGCCCTTCTCAGACGCGCTGCCGTGGGGGAGGGCGCCACCGGGGCGGGGCGCACCCGGGGACCGAGGCTTGCGACACTAGACACGGTTCAGATGTTGTAGGATAAGAGCAAAGCTCTGGGGAGATTCCGGTTAGGATAAGACTCTAGTCTGCGTTGGGGAATGAAGCAGAGGTTTTGGAGAGCTGATGTGGTTCTTTGTGTGGGGCGCTGGTTTGCGCACACAGGTGAGCCCCACGCGCTTGGCCGCCCTGACCAAGTCGCAGCAGAGCGGGTGTTGACTGGCAGGGGCGGCAAGAGGCAGTGTGCGGAGCCCGCTGCGCCTCTCCGCCGCCTCTGCTTCCATCACTTCTGCACCCCAGCGGCGACACCGGAAGGCAGTGGCTCCCCATCCTAGCCCTTTAGATTGAAAGTGGTCATAGTGTCCTTAGGAGAATTTACTTCGGATTTACTTCAGAGCTGCATCCTGAGCCAACAGTGCTAAATTACTGGGAGGCTCTTTAATCCCCAGGGCTGTTGGTAAGAAGAAGCCATAATACTGCTGAGCCCACTTATAAAAGGATGAGCATCTGGCTTATTGCTGCAGCCCCTGCGCCCAGCACCGAGCCCAGCACTTAGTAACTGCTCGCTGAATGTTTCGAATGGGTGAATGCATACATTGTGGTGCGGGGTTTTAATTTTTAGCAATGGTTGCTATTAACTGCAAACCACTGGTATTCCGAATGATGAGAAAGA